AGTGAAACGTGGCTCAATATTGGTTTTTATGTAGGCGCAATATTGCTTATATTATAATATAACTATTTTTTTATTCTTATTCTTTAGTATTAAGGCACAGTTCTATACACCTATATAATTATATAAGTATTAAATAACTCAAAATTATAGAAGCTTATAAAAGGATGACCAAAATTGGTGCAATTTACGATTATCTAAAACATTAGTAATATCAGTCCTATTTTTCTTTGGATGCAAATATCTTGGCAATATTACTCACTTATAAAAATTTTACATAATTAAATTAAAATTGGTTTTTCAACATTTTCTCTTATTCAAACAATTTTTTCCTTTGTTTTGCATTTTCACGATCATATTGAGCACACACAAATTGAAATTTCCTAATTTCACTGTGCAATTTCCAAAGACATAGATACTATCAGTTCTCAATAATTGAGTATCATAAATAAATAGTTTTTTAACAAACATCATTTATCCTTTAAGTAGTATATTTTCTTTAATGGAAATATTTTTGTTATGCTATTACATGCTTATAAAAATTGTACGTAATTAAAGTAAAAAATCTGTTTGGCTACATTTTTCATAATATTAATAAAAACCCTAATAGCAAAATGTACTCTTTTCCTAAGAGTCCGAACCAATTTTTTTCTCTTTTCGCAATCGTATTTAGCAGACTGTTTTTCTCATTTATTTTTTAAAATATGTGCTTGTTAAACATATCTTAGGATAATTATTTGACGAACGTTTGAAAATCTAATAATGTTATTTTATATCTAATAGAGAATCCATTATAATGTTATATAATAGCTATTAACATTACGAAATATTACCTAAAATTAATGGAAAAGAATGAAAAAAAGAGTGAGCGTAAGGTTCACACGCGATTGAAGTAAAACTTATTTGCAAGATGGCATTTAAGTAAAAATAAATACATCATATACAAATTTTGAATAATGTTTATACGTAAAATGGTAACAATCGTGATTTATTAGTGTCAAATTGCTGGAACTTCCAGTACCGTAATTAAAAATTTTGGTACGGAACCCAAAAAAAATTACACAAATTATGTACACATTATTCAAATCTCTATAAAATATCTGATAATTTGATGTACATATATCCAATAAACATTTTTGACCGCCAAATGACATTTTTGTTGGATCGCTGGACCTGCCTTCCCCAAAATTTAATCAGTTCTTCATCTTGCCAATACAAGTAAATATTTTTTGAATTATTAAAATCGGACGCTCCGTTTTTTTAAAAACTGAGTTACCATTTTTGGCACTTTTTGCCCCGTATCTTCGGAACGGCTAGACCTGACTTCGCCAATAACTAATCAGCACGTCTCCTTACGCAATCAATACGAATTGAATGTTTTTCTAATTTTTTAAATCAGTTGATCGGTGTTGCCGAAATCGTCGACAAAAATTGGTATCCGGACACACGCACACACACGCACACGCACACACACATTCATTCGTGTTTTCTAAGGTATGCCAAAATGTTCAGAAACCTTTGAAACGTAAAGATATATAAAAAATTTTATTTTTGATTTTGTTGTGATTACTATAACTTACTTATAATATTTTATATAAATTGCTTTGATAAAATATTTCAATTATTCAATTAATATGAATAAAATGCATCGCGATCGAGAGTGCATAATATGTTGCCTAATAATTGTAAGTATTCGCCTCGCCTCGCCTTAGTGTAATAAATATTATTTCGATGCAAAATGCATTTGTGCAAGTGCGTGCCAAAATCATTCTCGAGTTACTTTCACCCGACGATATTACATTTTATTTATTGCCGGACTGATTCATAACAAATATTGCGGTCTTGCATTTCACCAAATAAAAAACCGATGTTAAGAAATAACAACATTCACACAACCAGCCCACCATGTATATCCATGTCCATAATATAAATGTAAAAACACTAAATTCTCAACGTGTAAATATTCCACTAATTACGGTAATTGAATTTAAAATCGATTGCGTTATAGTTTGAAACATTTCCTACGTTTATAAATGATAATTGATAATTATCAAACTGGATAAAAGAAATTTTGTACTGTCAATTAGTATCATTGGTTACTTTTCCGATAACAAAAACTTATAAACTGTACGATATCATTAATTTTTTAGAAAGGCATTTTTACGTTCTCTGAATTTTGTTAAATTTTTTTCGCTACTGAAAATACTGTAAATCTACTATTTTTCAAAATATTTTTGCCATGTGACATTATAAGATCACCAAAGATGCATTTAGATAAATAAAATTTAACCAACTAATAAAGTCATGGATATGAAATTATGCCTTATTTTCAAGTTTTTTAATTAATTTTTGAAAAATTTTTTCATGCTATTTCTACACGAAGTTTGATTGAATTGCGCACTATCTAAAAGTTCTAAAAGTATTTTAAATATACTTATTGTTCACGTTATTAATTAGAAATTATTTTTTATCATTTTATCTATATTGCCCCAATTTGAACTTCAAGATCAAGATCGAAAATATGCAATGAAAATTCATAATTCTATTCACCACTTATTATTAATAATTATTTTACTACTATAAATAAATACTTTTTAAAGCACAAGACATTGGAAGTATTCTTCAATATTATTTTAGTTTTAATAATGACTGTAATTTTTAAAAAAATCAAATACAATTTTCTTCTTAAAAAGAAAGATGCACACATATGACAATGATTTATTTTCTCTTAAAAAATAATTATAATAAATTTTCTACTGCTGTAGGAGCTTCAATATTACTATAAGAATATTATTTAAATTACTCAAAAATTAAGAAATTAGATCCGTTATATAAATATAAAAAATTATAGTTAACTTACATGTGCCTTTTGCAATTCAGTGGTCACAGAGAATTTGTTTGCGTTATAGTTTGAAACATTTCCTACGTTTATAAATGATAATTGATAATTATCAAACTGGATAAAGATTTTGTACTGTCAATTAGTATCATTGGTTACTTTTCCGATAACAAAAACTTATAACTGTACGATATCATTAATTTTTTAGAAAGGCTTTTACGTTCTCTGAATTTGTTAAATTTTTTTCGCTACTGAAAAATACTGTAAATCTACTATTTTTCAAAATATTTTTGCCATGTGACATTATAAGATCACCAAAGATGCCATTTAGATAAATAAAATTTACCAACCACTAATAAAAGTCATGGATATGAAATTATGCCTTATTTCAAGTTTTTTAATTAATTTTTGAAAAATTTTTTCATGCTATTTCTACACGAAGTTTGATTGAATTGCGCACTATCTAAAAGTTCTAAAAGTATTTTAAATATACTTATTGTTCACGTTATTAATTAGAAATTATTTTTTATCATTTTATCTATATTGCCCCAATTTGAACTTCAAGATCAAGATCGAAAATATGCAATGAAAATTCATAATTCTATTCACCACTTATTATTAATAATTATTTTACTACTATAAATAAATACTTTTTAAAGCACAAGACATTGGAAGTATTCTTCAATATTATTTTAGTTTTAATAATGACTGTAATTTTTAAAAAAATCAAATACAATTTTCTTCTTAAAAAGAAAGATGCACACATATGACAATGATTTATTTTCTCTTAAAAAATAATTATAATAAATATTTCTACTGCTGTAGGAGCTTCAATATTACTATAAGAATATTATTTAAAATTACTCAAAAATTAAGAAATTAGATCCGTTATATAAATATAAAAAATTATAGTTAACTTACATGTGCCTTTTGCAATTCAGTTTGGTCACAGAGAATTTGTTAAATTTTATTGATATAAATATAAAATTATATTATAAATAATATAAATATACAAATATTAATAATATTAAAATAAATAAATATTATGAATATATAAATATTTATTTGTGCTAATGTTTTAATATATTTTATGATTTGGCATAATTTCATCGATTTTAGTAAATTGTGAATATAAAACTATATTTCTTCACATATATACGCTTCATATAGATCCAATATTTTACTTGATATCCTTTAACTGTTTTGTAAATCATTCTGTACAAAATCTTCTAATTCAAGAAGCTAAAATTCTGCATATAAACTATATACTAGTTTCTTGATTGAATTTACTGTTAAAAAAATAAACCCAAATTAATAAAATAAGGATTTATTAATCGGACATCTAAATGTATATGTTGTTTTACTTGTTCTATTTTTCAAACAATTTTTTTCTAAATTTTAGTCTATATTATTTATCCAACAACAAAATTTAAAAGTAGCTTTATAAATATTGAGAACCTTGTCGATTATTACTTCTTCAAGATACTTTACTATAATTTATGATTGATAACTTCATCATAAGCAGATGAAAACTCACATATATTTTTTTAAATTAAAATTATTTTTTTCCCTTTTCATTATGTGTATTACATATAACAACTTTCACGTGAAACTAAAGCATACGATATTTATGAACAATAAAAACATTCAAATGTTTTTTCCTCAAAACAATAAATTTTATTTTATAATGTTAGAACTCATATAAATATCATTGTTTCTTTATGAAACCTTGATTTTTTAATTGATACGACTGGATAATTTAATATACAAGTTAAAAACATGCCTTGAATGTTTTGTTTTAAATAAAAATTGTTTACGTTATGGAAGCAAATTATCATCTAATTAACTCCGTAATAAATTATAAATGATTGCGTTAATAAATATATAAAAACATATATGTTTGTAGTTTATTTAAATCTACTACTAATGAACAAATTATAAATTTCATTATATCTGCTTAGAGCTTTTATTTCTGATTATTTTGTGAAATACATTACTCTGATTTAGTATATTCATTCTGACTCTAGTCCTATCTATTTTGATGTTTAGAGAATTTATACTTATTTTTTTTTATAAAATGATGCACTTATTTATATATTCAATTATACTTATATTATAATCAATTATATATTAGATATTTATAAATATTTGTTATTTATTGCAGACCATGTTGAGGGGTCTCATGAAAGGATTTTTCTCTGATGACTGAGATTGGTAAGTTATAATTTAACCTTTGTAGACTATATAAGACGCTAATTCGTTGGTATAATTTTTGTATTTGTTGAAAGTTCTTATTGCAATTAATGATGATCAAAGATTGTATATAAATATTTATTTATTTTTTACTTACGCGAATTTTACTCTTGGAAGTAAGAATTAAGCCTGATCTAATTCTGTGCCCCCTCTTCGGGTTAGCAACCTTCCGGTACAAAAGCTTAATGCCTTGAAGATAGCTGTCTTCATGGTCGAAACAAAAATATATCTAGTTGGTATTGGTATTTTGCCTTGAGGCAAGTTACATGAACGTTTCGATATGTGTGAATAATCGACTCAATCAATAAAAAATAAATTAATTTATGAGTGAATAAAAGCATTCCGAGTGGATATATTACACATAATTGAAAACGAACAAACACGTTAACTCGGAGTATTTCCTAAAAGCAAATGTTCAAAAATCAACGTTTTTTGTAATTGAACCAGTTTCCGTAGGACTTTAATGGTTTAGAAGGTTCATTAAGACCAAGTACTCTATCGTTATACCAAGTAAATCGTCTAATTTTAATTTTAACAAACGTCAAAAAAACTACTCATTTTCTCAAACTTTGATAAATTTTTAAAATAAAGTACTTGTTGTAAGGCCGTAATATTTCAGTAAGTTCTAAAAGACCATGATATATCGCCAAAAACAGTTCCATAAAAATTGGCTAAATTTTTTTTCAACAATTAATTACAAGAAAACGGTTCGGTAGATTTTCACCTAATACTAATCAGTATCATTACCAACTAATATCTTTCGAACAGTTTTTTCTTTTTTAAAATCGTTTTGGTAGTGTGAGCTTAAATGTGGACAAAAAGTGTAACACTTTTTTTCAAATTACAAAGAAACGACTCGGCAGATCGTCTCACAAAACTGTCAAACCATAGTCCTTATTGAGGTACATCAAATGGCTTTTAAATTTTTAAAATGGTTTAAGTGTTTTTGAGAAAACGTCGACTTATGGTGAAAAATCTGTTCACACACACACGTACATACTTTTTTCAAATTTGATCTCATTCGATTGAAAAGTTTATAGGTGAATACTTTCACTTTTATATATCTCTATTGTATATAACTTATAATCTCTTTTTTTTTTGTATTTAACAACAATCTTTAATGTTTTGATGGATTTTTAAACATTATAAATTTCTTATAAGAAAATCGATTATAATTAAACTCATATAGCATTCATGGTGCTTCTTATATGCTGAACACCTCAGATCGTATTATATGAAGATTTCATTTTATTTCTTTATTGTATAAATTGAAATTGAAAGTATGTATTTATAGACACATATACAAATGTTTATAAAGTGTGTGTATACATGAATAGAGTGTTAATATATCTATTAAGTCAAGCATTCATACATACATCTTTGTATCTTGACTTTGCGTATATTAATTTTTTTATTGATGGAGCTCTGCAATATAATAATCAAGAAACTTTATAAAACGATATTAATTTAAATATTGCAATATTATTTTTTTGCTACTCTCAATTTTCCCAAGAGATATTTTTTATTTTCAAGATGAAATTCTAGTATTTTCTAAGATGAATCTTTTTACGTTAAATATTCGTTATACAATTAAAAGTTACATATTAATTCATGTTATGAAAACAATTATTGTTTTTTGTTATGAACTTTTAATACAAGAATATATAAAACTATTTTACTTTTAACCAATTTATGCCAATGCACATATAAAAGAAAGCTATTTGATTTGACTTTCTATGTCAATTGTAAGTTCTTCTCAAGAAGAGTCCAGTCCAGTTCCTTTCTCTATTCGTAATTTTAAGGAGCAGACTCCTTCTCTCAACCATTTCTTCAGATACGTACTTCTTAAATATATGTTTGCATAATTATTTGACATACTTCTAGAAAATGAATAATATCATTTTACATCTACTTGAGAGTCTTTTGCAATAAATGCAACAAAACTAATAGTGATCATCAGAAATTTCTTAAAACTAATTAAACAATTTGCAAAGTAAAAATTTGTACGCTCTCTTAGTTCTTCTACATTTTTTTGCATAATATACACTTCTCTCAAGAAGAGTCCAATCCAGTTTCCTCTTCTCTTCATAATTATATGGAGCATACTCCTTTTGTCGCTGGAATCACGTTCTTTTTAAATATATTTTTGCATAATTAATTGACAAAATTCTGAAAATCTAATATCATTTTATATCTTCTTGAGAATCTTTCACACTAATGTCATATAATTGCAACAAAGCTAATAGTGTCATCAGATTTTTTCTAAAACTAATTAAACAATTTGCAAAGTAAAAATTTGTATGCTGTCTTAGTTCTTCTACATTTTTTGCATAATATACACTTCTCTCAAGAAGAGTCCAATCCAGTTTCCTTTTCTCTTCATAATTATATGGAGCATACTCCTTTTGTCGCTGGAATCACGTTCTTTTTAAATATATTTTTGCATAATTAATTGACAAAATTCTGAAAATCTAATATCATTTTATATCTTCTTGACAATCTTTTACAATAATGTCATATAATTGTAACAAAGCTAATAGTCATCATCAGAATTTTCCTAAAACTAATTAAACAATTTTAAAAGTAAAAATTTTAGACGCTCTCTTAGTTCTTCTACATTTTTTTGCATAATATACACTTCTCTCAAGAAGAGTCCAAACCAGTTTCCTTTTCTCTTCATAATTATATGGAGCATACTGCTTTTGTCGCTGATATCACGTTCTTTTTAAATATATTATTGCATAATTAATTAACAAAATTCTGAAAATCTAATATCATTTTATATCTTTTTGACAATCTTTCACAATAATGTCATATAATTTCAACAAAGCTAATAGTGATCATCCGAATTTTCGTAAAACTAATCAAACAATATTTCTATATTGTTTGTTCTATATTCTATATTTTCCTCTATATTTTTTTGCATAATATACTCTTTCTCTAGAAGAGTCCAATCCAATTTTCTTTATAAATTGTATAAAGCAGACTTCTTTTATCATTTTGAATACGTACTTCCTAAATATATTTTTGCATAATAATTTGACAAACTTCTGAAAATCTAATAATGCCATTTTGTATCAAACTAGTGGTGTATTGCATCGTGCCTTAAAGCAAATTGCTGGAACCCGTACCTTAATAAAATATTCGAGGAATATGAAATTATTTCAAATAGATTATTATAAATAGTGTAACTTTCATTAATCTTATTTTGTAAAAAGTAAATAAACAAAACTTAATAAATCGGATTTAAAATGAAGAACATTGTCTAATATCTCAAAGTATTATACAATCTGAATTGCAAAGTTAAAATTATTTATTTGAAGTATATAAGTGATGGTTAGAACTTCAGCTAAAATTAGAATTAAAATCAGAATTATTTTTTGATATTCTAATACATTTGTTTTTGAAAAAACAAAAAAAAAATTGATATACAAAAATTTCTTTCCCAAAAAGCAATAGTTTCGTCAACACAAGCAAAAAGTTTTTTAAATCATTCAAATCGGATGCTTAGTTCGCTCAAAAACTACCATTTTATGCACATTTAGCTCTATATCTTCGAAACGTAACCAAAATCTTTAACTTCTTTCCATTATTACAAATCGAATGTTTTTTGGATCATTCAAATCGTTGGATCCGTTCTCTTAAAAACTGATATTTTTAGCACTTTATGCTTCATATCTTCGAAGCCGCTGGACCTGCCTTCGTCAAAAGCTAATCAGCACGTCTCCCCATCAGTAGGAGTCGAATGTTTTTTGAATCATTCAAATCGATTTATCCATGCGCCCGAATGCACACACACACTTACATAGACAGATTTGTGAGAGATGTGCTAATTGACCAGCGATTTATGGAAAGAGAAAGAGCGAATAAGACTTCGCTCATTTAAAAAATAAGTATAAAATCAGTGCAAGAATGATAACATTTTAGATCCTCCCCCCCACGAAGTAATGCCTAATGGCGGTTTTCGTGAGGATCAGAGACAAGAGCAAAGCGGAGGTTTTAGTCGGTATTATTATACCCAGGCGGTATTGAGTCCGACATACCCAGGCAAAAAACCTAGTCTGGGATGCGTAAACGCATTTCCTTCGCTATACGAAACAAAAAAAAACACACACACACATTCATTTTTTCTGAGGTATGCCAAAATGTTCAGAAGTATTTTTGCTTATCTGTTATAAAATATTTTTAGCAAAACTTAAGCCAAAAATTGTATCAACTGTTTATATATTTTACGTGATAATTTTGTTTTTGATTCGAATATCTTGGTTATATTATTACTCACCTGAAAAAGTTACGTAATTAAATTAAAACTTGTTTTCTAACACTTTTCAATCATACATACGACTTTTCGTATTCTATTTTTCTTCACTTTTCCTATTATAAAATATTTTTACTAAAACTTAAATCAAAATTTTATATATTTTATATATGTTTCATAAAATAATGACCAAAACGGTGCAATTTACGATTATCTAAAACATTGGTAATATTCTATTTAGACCTATTTTTTCGTTGATGAATATATCATCGTTATATTATTACTTAATCATAAACATTTTATGTAATTAAATTAAAACTGTTTTTTCAACATTTTCTCTCATTCATATAACATTTTTCTTTGTTTTTCTATGCATTTTCGCGATCATATTGAGCACATCCTTAGCCTGATCCATTTTTTTGAAATATGTGCTACAGGGTGGCCCATTTAAAATTGGAATTTATCGATAGCAACTTGCCTGTAGGTCACACCGTGCGGAATTCGAAGTGGCGATATATGGGAAAAACACTAAGAATTTTGAGACCTTTCTAACGATGTATAAAACTTTATATGTTTTCTTTACAGAAATATCTAATCCGTAAGATTACTAGATCACTAAGACCACTAAATGGACCACCCGTTATATTTTAGTATAATTAATTGATATACTTCTGAAAACCTAATAATATGATTTTATATGAAT